ACAAATACTGCTGAAAATCACTTAAAGATTTCTGAGGAAAATTCCAATGGAATTTCAAAATTTCCAAGGAAAAATAGATCTAACAAATTTTTTTTGAAGAATTTCAATCTCACTTGAAGATAGTTTTAAGGGAATTCTTAAGAATTCAATGAATTTGCGAGAGAACTCCAAGAAGAAGAATTCACTGCGAGTTTTGAGCATATATCTAAATTTCCTTGTAATTTTCTGAGTGTAACAGATCCTCAAAACATGTACAAAGGCTCAAAGGCTTTCCAAAGAGAAATTGCAAGAAAACCACAAGAAATTCTCTCAAGGGCTTGGAGGAGAATGTCAACGTTCAACGTTTCGAGCTCTGAAAAAAAATCTCATGGAATTCCGAGGTGAAATGCGTAGTTTTAGAATGCCTTCTTAACACTGAATGATATACCAACTGTTATGGAGAATAGCGGAGAGGTCATGTTTCCCACTAAATACTTATCAAAATCTAACCCTCTTAAGTACTCATCCTCTAGGTAAACATATCAAGATCACAGGTACAAAAATGAAATTACAACGTGCAGAAGCGGAACCAACCTAACTTTTTTTCCTTGATTTGTTTTTCGTACTGAGTACCAATGCTATTGACGCCAGGGAGGCAGCTCCTACACCTGGACCCTACCTATTGACCCATCAACTCATGGACCGGGAACCAATGGCTTAACTTCCTTGATCAGATATTTCATGCCTCAGAAAATCCCGGTGGCGTCGACTGGGATTGAACCCAGGCTGTGTGAGGTGGGAGGAAATCACGCTTACCACTACACCACTGGCAACAATACCACCTACCTAATGAATATCCAAGAAAATAAAGTAAAGAAGGAAAATCTTAATAATTATTTTATAATGAAAACCCTCAAAGGCTTGATAGCCATCATAATGAAGTAAACGAAATATCGTGTAAATTTACGTCAAATCTAGCGTTAATAACACGTGGGCTATATACTTATGTTCCAGATGTCATCATACTTAGCACTATTTATTCATTCACGACTTTTTCTTAAGCTAGTTTTAACTACATCACTCTTCAAAACTCACTAATAGACTAACTGAAGCTCCTAGCTAAGACATCTAAAGCCTAGCTTCCTAATCTAGATTACTGAGGTCAGCTGGGCTACAAGCGTCGCCGTAATGCTGCTTGCCGATCCTGGGAACCACGCTGAGGAATTGATGTGCTGCTCAACTGTCCGTGCTTCGTAGTGTAAACATAATTCGCTTTAAGAGTTCTGTATGCTTGTGAATTCTTCATAATCAGAGGATTTCGTACATAACTAAAGGGTGTCACACATAAAATTGCATCACGCAAAAAAACGCTGAAGAAAATAACCTAGTTGACCAATCCTTTTCAAACTTTCAGACTGTAAAATATAACCCATTAGTGAGCCTTTGGCATATTTATTTCATTCAACTTCAATACCATAACCGTACGCTCACACCTTACGCTTAACTCCACTCATTAGGTTCTGTACAACATCTGGCTGCAGCTTCTTCTGTACGGAAACCCACTTTTTCTTCATGTCTTCCTCAGATTTGACCTTCTTGGGATGCTTCCGTAGTGCCTGCTTCATAATAGCCGAGTATTTTTCGATGGGTCTTAGTTCCGGTGCGTTGGGGAGTTTCATGTCCTTGGGTACGAAAGTGACCCCGTTGGCTTCGTACCACTCCAGGACAACATTTGAATAGTGACACGAAGCTAGATCCGGTCAGAAGATCTTAGGGCCCTCGCGTTGCTTGATCAAAGGAAGCAGACGCTTCTGTAGACACTCCTTGAGGTGGATCTCCCCGTTTACAGTCCCGGCAGTCACGAACGGCGCACTCCGTGTGCCACATGAGCAGATCGCTTGCCAAATCATGTATTTATTGTCAAACTTTGAAAGTTTTTGCTTCCTTACTTCCTCCGGAACATCAAACTTATGCTGGGCGGTGAAGAATAGTTGCCCCGGAAGCTTCCGGAAGTTTGCCTTCCCGTAAGTCTCATCATCCATGATGAGGCAATGAGGCTTCGTCAGCATCTGGGTGTACAGTTTCCAGGCCCGTGACTTTCCCACCGTCTATTTTTTTTAAGTTTCTAGTAGATTTATTAATCAACAAATTTTATAGAAACAATTCTTATATGGTAAAAGACTTCCTTCGGATCCGCTTCATATTTAACGAGCCAAGACTGATACCTGCCAGACACGGATGATGTTATCAGAGTAACCGGCGTACAGCGTCTGTCCATCGGTAGACCAAGCCAGCGACAAGCACTGTGGTGGATCGGCCTTCGATGGCTTCAGCTCTTCGACCATGGTCTTGCATGCCAGATCCCAAATCTTGATGGATGGACCATAAGCAACGCACAACCAGTAACGGTTTGGTGAGAAGCAGAGGGCATTGATGACCTCGTTATGTTCCAAAGTGTGCAGATGCTTGCCATCATTCAAGTCCCACAGGAAGGGCTTGCAATCCTTACCTCCGGATGTGCACAGGGAACCATCAGGAGAAACGGAAACCGAGTTCAAGTAGCCATTATGGCCCAGGTGGACAATCTTCAGCTTGCAGTTGGCCAAATTCCAGACCTTGACGGTGCGATCCCAACCAGCCGAGACAATGATCGGGTTCGAGTGGTTCGGTGAGAAGCGGACACACGAGACCCAATCACTATGTCCATCCTCTTGGATGGTGTACTTGTATTCGACCAAAGTGTTCCAAAACTTGATGGTCTTGTCACGAGATCCAGATACGACCTGACGGTTGTCCACGGAGAAAGCAATCGACAGGAAATCCTTGGTATGGTCTTCAAAACGACGAGTGGACTTTCCGGTGGCCAAATCCCACAGGTGCAGGGTCTTGTCCCACGAGCCGGATAGAGCGTAGTTACCGTCGGACGACAGAACAACGTCGCTAATGAAGTGCGAGTGACCGTACAGACGCTTTTGCGGAATACCGTAACTGGCATCGTCGCGAGTCAACTTCCAAACGATCAGGGTCTTGTCGCGAGACGAAGACAGGATCATGTCCGGGTACTTTGGATTGGTAGCGGTCTGGGTGACCCATCCGGAATGGCCAACGAGCTGGCCGCGGAGTTGCAGCGTTTCAGTCATGATTAATCAAAAGTTTAACAGCAATAACTGCACTTTTTCACAAAGGGCAACAAATGCGTGCCACACGATTCGACGTTCTACGGAGAAGAAAGGCCGTTTGCCGTTCGTCACGATTTGGAGCCTTCTACACCTTCTCCCGGTCCTTGGCTCTTTGAACGAAAGACTTGGACAGATCCAACCGAAGCATTGGGATTCCGCTTAAACGCTTTCACGAAACGCTTGTGATCCTGATCACTAATAGAACATCCATTCTGACCGCATTTCTCCTTCCGTTCGATGCTCAGAATTTCGTAGTAACGTTTAATCACACGACTCACCGTTGACTGCACGATTCCGAATTGTTTACCGATGTCCCGATGAGAGAGTTGAGGATTTTCCAGGTGCTTGCGCACAATCAATTCCCGACGTTTCTTTTCGGGTGACGCCATTTTTCCAACTTTCGAAAAACTGACAGCGATGAAAATACAGTGTAAACAATACACTCTAAACTACTTCTACCTAAATTTTCAAGAGAAAATACCCTACAGCGTTTTTTTTTTTCGTTATGCAATTTGATGTGGGACACCTTTTATATATCTCAGAAATTCACATGCATTTTTCATGTGGTGAGTAATCAAGGTAAAAATCGTCAAAATATGACAAAAAAAAAGAATCATGGCCAAAATAGGTGCGTTCCCCCTACCGCTTCTACGACACGGTTACAAATAGCTGCTTCAAGGCAAAAAACCTCGCTTTGAATATCTACAGACAACCAATGTTTTTCTAGACGAACGTTAATTTTATTCCCAACAACTTGAGTACATCAATTAGGATTAACAACTTATCTACTATTTCCCAGACCTACCTGTTTTTCCAATGGTGGATTTTGATTCAGCAATACTGAACTGTTCTAGCAATACTAAACCAATCAATCCAACAGCGCAAAAACATTTACCGCGTATGGATTTTTAATTCGACTATCAAAGCAAATATGTCCACACTATTTAGCTTCCTATATCATATTACGCCATAATCAGTATGAATTGATTAAAATCTAAGCCCGCAGTGTCATCCAAAACCGAACCCAAATCTAACGAGGAGTGATCAATTAATCATTTTGTTCGACCATTTTCCACAGAGATGGCGCTGTTCCGCTGGTAGGAAGTGATAAAAATCCCCATATAGAAATTGAGAGAAGTGCGAATAATTCGCTTCCGGTGCATATTCAGGTCAAAAAAAGTGAACGACAACCTAAAGAAATTAGTCAGGGGCTTTGTCGTTCAGTTTTTTCCCGGAAATTAATGCTAAACAAGCTACAATTAAATAAAAATGATTTTTCCCCATACAGTTTTACCTGCTTTACTACCAGTCCCCAGAGAGCCAAAAAATTCAAATTAGAGAGAGAAAATTTGCTCTCACGACCTCAATCTCTCAACATGCCATGTATTTTGTTGACACTCGATTTGTGATTTCCCTTTCACAGATTACAAAATAGAGTACCTGACACTACAAAACATGTCTGGCACCTCTATATATGCATTTGCTTTAACATTTGAAGACCCTCCTTTTTTACATATTCTGCACAAAAGATACTTTATGCCCCGCCCCATACATAAAATTCGGCGGGAAATCCTGTGAGGGGTGAGCTATTTTGTGTGCAGAATGTGTAAAAAGGGAGGGATTTTGGATGTTAATCTAAATGCATATATAGAGGTATAAGACATGTTTTGCACTGCAGTGTCCTCTGTGAACAATTATAGGAAAACAGATTGTGTCTAGTTTCCGATAGATGTCACCGCAAACAACAGCTGTGACATCTGATGGAACATGAATGCAGAAGCTTGACAAAATGATCAATTTGCAATATCATCTTCCACGGATCTCGGCAAGCAGTCAAAATATTCAACTGGCACTAGCGAAGAACCGTAGCCGATTTGGGGCCGAGAGGTAAAGGTCCGTCTTCGACGATTTAGTCGTTCGGTAGATCGGTGCATGATGGGGGGCGCCTGCTACAGGCTATAATGAAACAAGCGCGGTTGAAATTTATCGCCAACGGAAGCGGGGAATTCATTAACCAAAGACCATCTTGTGACATTTTACTCGGAACCGTTAGATTGTCTAATTTTATTATTAATGAGGTGTTTTATTAAGCAAAGATTCCATCGCAGATAACATATCACGAACAGTGTCAACTATCATACAAACGCTAAGAGACAGGCACAATGTTACCACCTATCGGCAAACTGCGGTTGACATTGCAACCTGCCAAAGCGTCAGTCTTATTGATATGCTGTCTTCGATTTAATGGACAACGAGCGTGCTCAAGCAACATTAAGCAGCGAAGTAATAAGAACATAATAATTGTCATTTTGCGACAAAACTAGATAAACATTTCAAAAGGTTCTATCTGCTTTGAGCGATTCCCTTCATATTGCACACAACATTTACCAGTTTGATAAAGGATCCGTTCAAAACGACCAACACAACAGTGAATGTTTCTACAGCTGAGTTATTAACGAAAGAGAACGTCCATGAAGAGAATCGATCAATGAAGATAGGATTTTTTGGAAATGTTGTTTAAGAGTAATAAAATACTTTGCCCTTGTTTCTCCCGTTCAAAACCCGAACATGGTTGTTCAACGAAATCCAGGGCTGTACTCGAAGCTTTCGGCGTGCTCGTACTCGTTCCCTTCGCAATGGCCGTATGCAGCTGTAGTACACGAGTTCCCCCAAGCTCAACATGCTGGCACCCACAAGCAGTGCGAAGAATCCTCCCATCTTTGCCACAGCATCTGTGATACCCATCAGTTCTCGTCTCCACATCGGTAGGTAGTGTCGATCCTTGAAACCGACAATCATCACTGCTGGATCAACTCTGTGGGACAAACATTTACTATTAACCTTGAGTCAAGATCACTTTCGCTTGAACATGAAATCCTACCGTTTGTAATCGATAGTCGGTATTTCAAGGGCCGCTGCCAATTCATGAAAGTGGAAGGGGAACTGTGAAATCTCTACGTCATATTCTAGGGAATTGCAGGCGGGCAGACAGTTGCACCTGCTTTCCGGATTACCAGCCATACTGTTGGACACCTTGGTATTGTACATATCTTGATAGACTTTGTGATAGCAGTCGATTTTGCTGGCGTCGCACACTTTCATCCTGGCTGTTCGAGGCATGGAAAATTTCACACATTGGCATTTGTACAAAGTGTAATTGGATATGCATTCCATGAGGCAATTGCTTTCAGTATATCTTTTGAAGAACCGCAATTGACGCTCGTCGTTGAAGAAGCATCTGCGTCTGAATAAGCAGTTCGTTAGGAAGATCTTAGGAAATCTAATCTGGTGTTTCGTTACCTGGACGGAGAAAGTGATATGAGATGGTTTCCAGTGTTAACCACTCGTGGAGTAACCATTAAGATAAGAGCATTCAGCGTATTGAGACGATAAAATTTGTCTCCAGTTAGTGGGATTTCACCAGGAGTATGAACGGCGAATTTGTAGCCGGTATAGGGACCCTAAAAATAGATTTCAGATCATTGTTCTAGTTCTCGTTATTATGATCAGTTAATTAATTGCTTACCCTGCACAGAAATTCCTGATCGATCTTCCGCATCACTGGTATGAAAATCAATCCGGATTTTATCCCGCTGGCCAGTGCACGATGTGGGAAGGCATTCAATCCAGCCTGTTTATCGTACCCGCCATCCAGTGTCCATCTGGATGGAATCGCTGAAGTAGCAAAACTTGTGAAATCCTCGGAAATTTCACTCAACCGATACGTTTCATTGGGAAGCAACTCGTTGAATGTGTAGCAAAAGCCATCATCTACCAGAGTTTCCGTAAATAAGTGATTGCATATTTCAAGCTTATTTCGCCAAGCGCACAGCGCTATGGTTTTAGCGAACGAAAGGGACATGTTTTGCAATGTTTCAACAACAGCTTCATTTGGATCCACGCTGAAATTTTTCCAGTAACGAGAAAATGGACAGACATGTGCCATAACCCGCAGCTGTCTCTCTCTGGAATGATAAGTAGTTCTCCGTAATGGTGGAACGATTCAGTATATCCACTGTACCTGTATTCATCCAGAACAGATTTGTTCTTGACCATTTCGAACACTTCCGTTAGATTGAATGCTTCGACGCGTGTTTTGGTGAGGGGACATATCGTTATAGCCGGAAAGGGGATCGTAGATACCGGAGAAAGTTGTGGAGCATATACGATGACAACTGGATTCTCGCACCATTTGTGGTACGTGGTCAATGCCAAGAACCAGCACGATATGAATGACACGCCGAGCCAGACAGCCCACCATACTCTAGAATCGGAATTCAAATTTAATTGCATCAATAGCGGTTCCTCATCTAGGACAGTACCTTTCAAAACGTGTTAGCTGCCGATTGGCGATGAATCGGTGGGCAAATACAGTAGATTCTATGTTGAACTCCCAACAGAGGCGTTTCCAGCTGATTGTGTTGTTCGCCGGCATGGTTTCGTATGATGCCTTCGCGTTCACGGTAAAATAGCGTTTGATGAATGTGTTTGGCGTGTTTGCTCAACTTCGTGCTATGAATGCTCGTTTAATATTAATAATTTGTGTTGATGATGTTAGGAGTTCCTGTGTTTGTTGCATACATATTGAAATACATGAATATCACTAGATCAAACAAGACTAATTTCAAATAGTCAATGAGCATTAATGTATGCACTCAGAATAAGAGCAATAGAAAATTAATTGAAGTGGCCTTTCACTGGGTTTTCATTCGTTTTTGAGCAATTAAATATTATTGCACAGTAGGCCAGGAATTAAGTGTAAATAGCAGAAAACAATTAATAAGCTTAGCGGCGCCAGTGGTGTAGTGGTAAGCGTGATTGCCAGCAGGCCAGGGTTCAATCCCAGTCGGCGCAACCAGGATTTTCTGAGGCATAAAATCTCTGATCTGATCACGGGGAAGTAAAGCCGTTGGTCCCCGGTTCATGAGTTGATGGGTCGATATGTAGGGTCCAGGTGTGGGAGCTGACACCCTGGCGTCAGTAGCATAGGTGCTCAGCACGGAAAACAAGATCGACGGAAAACAAACCAAAGGAAAAAAAAGGGGCCTAATACACTTCCCTGGGGCACTCCAAGGTTATTCCCCACGGGACGGGAAACAGAGTTATTAAAAACAGTCCGTTGAGTTCTGTCAGACAAATAGCTTTCAAACCAGTTATATGCAGTACTCGTAATTGCTCAAAATGTCGACCGATTCCAGGAAAATTATCACTCTGAAACTTTAATCTTGTGAATGGTCTTGGTGTGATGTTAAAGTTAGCGTTTATTTGCATTGAATTTGATTGAATTGCTTAGTATGACCATCTTACCTTACATTTCCCTCCTGTTATAAATATGATCACTACCCGAGCAACACCATTTGTTTCTCAGCAAGTAACAACAACCTTAGTGTGACTAATAGACGGTCTAAATAATGGACAACGCACCTCACATAAAACTTCATTGTAACTTAAAAAGCGCAGAAGGTGGAGTCTCTTTGCAACTTATGTTTGTGGCATAAGGTGTTGCAAATAAGGTGCATGTAACATGATATTTGAATGACACAAGTTGTAAATGAGGTTTTAACTGACTAAACTGCAATGTTTCACTGAAATATTTAAAACAGTACTGTGATGTTTTCGAATACATGTAAATAACATAAATGTATTGGATATTTTTGTGAGGTGATGCGGAAAAAGCATACTGATGTTTTTATTTAGACTGCAAAATCAGAAGAGACAATCGTAGAAAAAGTCATTTGAATAAAAGTATGAAATTAATTACTTTAAAATATTGATAACTGGTCAGTTTTTTCAAACGCATCTAGTTTTATGGTGAAATTACACATTTTGGTACCATTAAATATATACGCCTTCAAAAACTTACAAATTGCTGCCACAAATACGCAGCTTAAAAATATTTCGAAATAAAAAATTGATCTCTAAAAAAAAATATTTATATTCAAACTATTGGAAAACATTACAGCTGTAATAAGTATTTCACGTTTTTACGTTAATAGGGTGTGAAACATGAATCAATTGAAAAATAATTTTATTCTGTTTATTTCTGGTGGATAACATATGGCTGTCAGTCTTACCAACAGCATTCTAATTGCAGGTCAACATGTTCAGTACAACCATATTTATTTGTATGTGCGGTTGTGTTTGCAAATGTGATTAATTTTTGGTTTCATTCTAACCGAATGAAATTAGCATGATGATGAGTTCTTAAAATTTAAAATTATGTTAAAAAAAAGTAATAATCAATGGGATGGTCAGTGGTCACTCTAAATAATGTACCCAGGCACTTTTTCGGCTCTCTAAGGCAAGGCAGCGCTCTGTTGTGAGCCAATCACCGACAAGATATTCTGACTCATCAGTGGGCAACTACAACACACCTACCAGACCCCTATTTCATTAAGTTTCCGACCCGTACCGGAAACCTAAATTCTAATCAGCATAGTTAATTTAAAATAAATACTTTGCAAGTAACAATCAATCAAGGCCTAATAAGTGATCAGCCTCCTTAAACCAAATAAGCATTTTTATGCAGTACCGATCGATCCTATAAATTTTATTTTTTTAGCTGACAGAAAGATTATTGAACGCAAAAATGCTTAAAAACTACGTATCCGTTGTAGACCGGTTCCAAGATTTGGACGGCTTTCTCGGCGGCAAGGCACGTTAGCTCTACGCCGTACAATAGGCGACTGTCGATGATGGCTCGGGCTACTCGGAAGCGGATTTCACGGTTGTTGGATCGGTGGGGGCGGGAGATGGTCTTCATCAGGTTGGATCGACTACGACAGTCCTTCTTCACCTGTTGGAAGTGCGGCTCGAGGGATAGGTTCCGATCGAGGAGCACTCCCAGGACCCTTATTGTGTTTTTGGTCGGTATCGCTTGCTGTTTGATCATGATGGGCTGTCCGTTGTTCCGATGCCGGGTGGTGCATATATGGCAGCGCACGCTCTTGCCGGAAAGCTGGAACCCAACGGAGTCAGCCCATCTGACCACCGAGGAGACTGCCGCTTGCGCCCTTAATTTCGTCCTCTGCAGGGTGGGGCCCACCGTTACAATGAGGACGTCATCCGCGTAGACGAAAATATATATGTTCTTGGGTAGCTTGTCGAAGACCCCGTTCATGGCCACCAGGAAGAGGGTGACCGCGATCACCGAACCCTGTGGTACTCCGGTTTCTTCGCTGAACCTTCTGGATTGGACGTTTCCGACCGACCGTTCCGAGAACAGTCTCCGGTCTCCTGCCCTCCACCCCAGCCGACGCCGCGTGCGTAGAAGCCGGTATTCTGCCTTTTCGGCTCGTCTACACCGTAGCTACCGCTACCAAAGCCGCTGCCTTCCTCGCTAAAACGTCGGGAAACAGCAGGATCTTTCTCCTCGACGAGGTGAACCGACTCCTCCGCACGGTCGCCGACGTAGATCTCCCTCCAGTGGCCAGGGTCCACTGGCACGGAGACAAAAGTTGGCAATCACATCAGATCAGAATCGACAGCCGAATCAAGGACCGCTTCAGGGCAGGAGACAACTCACTGGCTTTGCGCCGGACAGTCGTCGAAACTCTCGGGGCGCACTATCAAGATCACGAAATCAGGTACACCGATGGCTCGCTCTCCAGCAGCGGAGTGGGAATGGGGGTTTCAGGAGATAGTTTGGTCGTCAGCAATTCACTTTCGGCCCAGTGCTCGGTGTTTTCCGCTGAGGCAGCGGCCGTCTTTCACGCAACCACCCTTCCAGCCAATCGGCCGATCCTCATCGTTACCGACTCATAAAGCGCAATAATGGCCCTAACCGATGAAGCACCAAAGCATCCGTGGATACAAGGGACGGTAACGCATGCGCCGCCCAACACCGTATACATGTGGGTACCCGGGCACTGTGGCATCCAGGGGAACGTGATCGCCGACCACCTCGCCGGCTCAGGCCCCATCGAACCCAGGTTCTCTGACAATGTTCCGTTCCAGGACATCAAGAAATGGATCAAGCGGACGGTTCGGAGAGCGTGGGACAACGAGTGGAGGAACAATCGAACTCACCAACTACGAAAAATCAAGGCGACCACCGATCCCTGGAAGGATCGACCGAGCCTCAAGGAGCAGCAAGTGGTGTCCAGGCTGCGCACCGGGCATAGCAAGGCCTCCCATAATTTTGGAGGAACACCGTTCCGGAGAACCTGGGAAACCTGCGGAGTGCCAGCCTCCGTAGAACACATCCTCATCAACTGTGTGGAGCTCGAGGACCTTCGGGTTGCCTTCGGTCTGGAGGGAACCAGCATACGAAGTCTGCTTGGCGACGAGTCCCCGGCAGCAGACGCTCTCATCGCCTTCCTGAAAGAGGCGAATCTTTTTTACAACATTTGAGTGTTTTCTGTTTGTGCTTTTGAATTCGTTGGCCCTTTTGGTAGTGTTTTTACAATATTTTATATAATTAAGCTAAATGCCCACTTGCCAAGATTGGGATCCTCCTTTTGAGGTCCCAATTCTTTTTTGTAATTTTTAAAAGAGATGAACTAGCCTTAGGCTAAAAATCTCTCTAATAAAGGATGAAAAAAAAAAACTTAAAAACTAATTTGAAGAAGTATTTTATGCATCTATTTAAACTTAAACATTTTTTTGAATAAAATAAATGTTATTAATTTTTATCAATTTTAAAAATCAATCCTTCAATAAGTAAATAAATAAATGAAATCAAAACAAATAAAAAAAGCCTGTAAACCAATTGGAATTAATGACTTTAACTCGCAAACCCCCACTGTCTATTACTGAAAAATGCTAAAACTTTCATAATTTCGTCATTTTTTAACAGAATATTTTTATCTATTCATTGCAATAGAACCGCAAACTCCTAAAGGTTTGATAAGCATTGCAGTTTTAAAAATATTCAGAATCTTTTTATTCTGAAAATATTATGAACTGAAACAGTGTAAATTTTTGACATTGAGGCTATGAAAATCAAACGAAAGTTTACCGATTCGATTTTTTTTTCTGTGCGTTTTGATTTTTCTAATAGAAAGCCATCCACAAATTATGTAAAGGTTTTTGAATGATTTTTAAATCCCCCTCCCGTCGTTGTATGACTCTGTAAAATTTGCAGTTCGCAACCCTTCCCCCGAAAGTCTTTTTAAGATTTTAAAATTCAGAAGGTTGTTAGATATCGATTTGGGTAAATTTTTACATGCATTTGCGCAGTTAATGTTATTGGACACATTAAATCGCTTAAGTTAAAATTATGTTTTTCACCTACTAAATTTTATGTATGAAAATTTCAACCCCCTCTCCCCCCATTCCGTTACTAAATTTGTGGATGATCCCAAATGTTGGAAAATATATAATCAATCAAAGAAAATCATTTTTTTTCCAAAGATTTCATAGAAAATTAGCATGTTACAATACGCTTTCAATCTCATCGAAGAAAGTTGGACTCCCAACAAAACTGAAAGATTG